GACATGATAGGCTCATAGTAACGTTTAATCTTCAGTGACCTCAGTTGTCACCCCTAGGAGCAGGTTTCTTCATTATTCTTTAAACAGCAGAGGAGTATGATTCATAGAAAAACGGGCATTTTTAGCCTGAAATTATCAGGCACTTCCCTTCCTCATTATGGAAATACTGACTATCTTTTGGAAGAGACTTTAAGAACTTGGTCAGAGTCTGTTAATCCCTTTTACTTCTATGAACTGATGTCAAAGGTTCATGGAGATTTTCAAGACCCTACCAAATGGGTTTAGAGGAAAATGGGGCTCATGTCAGATTATCCCTAGACACCAGGAAATCGGTTGAGCCTACTTATAAGCTTGCTTCCCGTGCCTGTAATTTATGTATAGTAGGTCCTCTGGTTACATTGGAAATCTGTTCCTGCAGTGCCACGTAATGAGATTTTCCCTGTAAGTCAGAACCCCCTACATACGCACCTACGTCACTCACATGGAGCACACGCACAGCAGTAATGAAGTGACACAGTAAAAAATTTAAAAGAAAGATAACAATTCCTGACCTTTACTTGTGGGAAATAAATAATAAAAAACATAAAGCACATATGTACATATGTCGAAATGATGGAACTTATTTTTTATAAATAAATGGGAGATGGTGACGTAACCACGAAATGAAATCATTCATTCATTGAGTCCAGCGTAACCTGAGGACTGCCTGTAAAGCAGCAAAGACCCTGATAAGAAGGTGTCCTGACAACTGGGGTTTTACTCCAATTCCTGGGCTCTTTTATAATTAAAGTTTGATTACTATGTAGTTATTTGAACTCCATAAGTTTCAACTCAGCTTGTCAACCTTATTACTTTGTAATGGATATGCATGTCTTATGATCTCAATACATTGCTTCATATGGGACACCGTCTTAGGAAGATCTGGTCTGTTCCAAATATATAAGGAAGTCAAATATTTCTTCTTTTTTCATTTTTTTCTTTTTTAAAAATATATTTTATTGATTTTTTACAGAGAGGAAGGGAGAGAGATAGAGAGCTAGAAACGTCGATGAGAGAGAAACATCTACCAGTTGCCTCTTGCACACACCCTACCGGGGATGTGCCCGCAACCAAGGTACATGCCCTTGACTGGAATCAAACCCGGGACCTTTCAGCCTGCAGACTGATGCTCTACCACTGAGCCAAACCGGTTTCGGCCAAATACTTCTTTTTGGTACTTTCTCACCACTGCCCCCAACATCTTCCTCTCCATCAAATGAATCATTCTTTCTTTGCCCTATCTTCACATCTCTGACCCTATTAAAAATGGTGCAATTCTCAGCTTGTTTTCCACAGGGGCTGGTAATGATTTAAGATAAGTTATCAGTTCTCAGTAAGTTATTTGTATTTTAATAAAAATCCTTGAAGCTTAACTACTTGAGGTACTGAATCTCTAAGGTTAAATTTTAGGCAGTGGGGAAAATATTTCAGATGGAGATGAGGGGTTGGGTGAGCAGGGCTCAGGATGAGCAGGGCTCTCTCCCTTTGGTTTTGAGAAGGCTAGCCCCTATTTTGTAAAACTACTGTTTGGGATTCTCTGCTGTTTTTTTAGATAGCCTCTTATTCTAAAAAAATAACATTACTTTCTAGCCTGCTTTAGCTCGCTTGAATAATGAGGAAGATAAACTTAGCTGTCTGACCTTGTAGGCCAGAGACTAGATACGCCCATACTCTGAATGCCACTCCAGGTGTATTTTTTAATTAGATAGAAATGTGTTCTTTTCAAGGCCAGCAGTGAGATAACCACTAAGTGCACATAGGGCTGGCTCTTTAATAAAAAGGGAAGTTCTGCTTGTAGCCTTGCTTAGAATTTGAATTCATTTTCTCTTAGCCCACCACAGTGAATAAAGTGTGACTCCAAACTCACTGAGCATTGCTTGATTTATTCCAGTTCTCTGTAACAGTTCAAGTCATGGTGTGGTCAGGTCTGGGCTAATGTAGAGCTGGCATTTCTGTGCTGGCCTGGGGAAAATGAAAGAGGCACCTGGTCAGGACATTGTTTGGCCTAGGGAGAAAGAAGATTCACTACTTTGGCAATTTATTTAATTTTTTTTGGGGGGGGGAGACAGTTTGAGGAGCAAGTTGCGTAGCTCATGTGAAGTGCAAGGAGCTGTGGAAAATCAGAGATAAGGAACCATGGCCTCTATTTTCAAGGTTTGTTCCCTGTGTTGTGGGGAAATCAGACACATTTGTTAATAGATGGGCCGAACACAGAATATGAAGAGTTATCAGAGGTACAACTAGCAGCTATGAAAATGTGGAGTCCATTTCTCACTGGGATATCTAGAAAGGCTTCTCATAGAAAGTAGGGTGTTTATTTACTTTATTTATTTATTTTGAGAGAGAGAGAGAGACCGAGAGGAACATGAATGCGAGAAACATCAATCAGTTGGTTCCTACATGTGCTTTGACCAAGGATCAGACCCACAACTGAGATATGTGCCCTGACCAGGAATTGGACCCACAACCTTTTGGTACATGGGACAATGACCCAATCAAATGAGTGACTCAGCCAGGGTGAAAGTGGGATTTTAGTTGAGCATCAAAACAACTTATAGTTTAAAAATTTGTGCTTTTGAAAGAAATGATGCCAGGAAGGGCCCGTGTTTTGTCTGAGGGAGGGCGGTTTGTTCTGCTTGAGCAGAGGCTAGAAGATGAGTGCTGTGCTGTAGCCTGGAAAACCCAGCAGGGGCTTTCAACCCTGCAGGGGTTCGTATGTTTGGTTGAATATTTTACATTTTCCTCTGTTCATATTGGGAAGCCATTTAAAGATATAAGTGGGGAATAATAGTCTTTAAGAAAATAACTGACCAGGATGTACTAAAGGTCGGGAAGGAGACACTCATTTATCAACAATTAGGGGAAGAGTGGAAGATTGCCTCTAATTCATTAGCTATGCATTGTATCTGCAGAAGCAAAATAGGCAGGCATATCTTAATGCATAAATCCTCTTCCCATATATGAGAAGCACCATGGAGCAAATATTTCACAGCCAAGTTATCTTTAAAGTAACAAGAGCAAAAGCGATTTGGAATAAATGTTTCAGAACCATTTATTACCTTGCACAGACCCATGAGCAAATAGGATTGAGCTAAAGCAATGACTGTAGTGTGGCACATGGTTCTGCAGGGGCTGCCACACTATTATATACAGTATGCTTTTATCTTGGTTCAGCGCTGGCTGTTGCCACTACTATTACTCAAAGACCGGGAGTGTCAACAAGATAATCGAAACAACAAAATGGGAGTCAAAAGTTTTTCTGCCTCTTTCTTGAAGTCTTAAGAAGACCATTTCCTTTGTATTCCCTATATTCAGAATATAAAAGCCTCCCAGGCATGTAATCTTCAATAGGTTAAACATTTCCAAAGGCAGTGAAATTATTTTGCGGTAGCTTTTTGGTTTAAGGCAAGTGTTTTATGGGCTTCCAACCCTTCTCTCCTGACCCTATTTATGAAAAAATAAATAAAACAAAGTAAATGCCTTGTAACTACAGTGTCCTGGTGTGAAAATCCTAGCACAGCATGGTGGAAAGGTTCTGAATTATGATCCAAGCCATCTGCATTCTAGCCCTAGTTTCATGAATGCACAGCTTGATGGTTTTGTCACATTTTATATTTAAATGGAGCATTAGGGTTTTTCTATATGGCCTTGGTGCTATTCCTTAGGAATGGCCATGTTATTTTTGCTTATGGAGTTTAGAAAATGAGGAGACACATGATGAGACTGTGGTCAACAATTTTGGGTGGAAGCAATGTCTGTTACTTTGAGCCAGAACATTTGATGCCAGTGCGAGACTCCACAGAATTCTTTCTACTGTGATGACTGACAAATTTTCAGGTAGTGGCAGCTTTGTCAACGCGGACCCAAAATGAGCACAATGAGAAGCAGAACTCCTAGCCATGGGAATATTATCATGGAGGGATCAAGCTGACAGCACCTGAAACCACTGATCAATCTTAATATTAAAAATGGGACTTTATGTGCTTCTTGTTATGGTGTAATAAGAGGGTAATAGCATCTTCAATATTATAAAGTAATAATGAAACAATAAGAAATTGAATCTAAATATAATAATTTTTCTAGATTTAATTACATGTTTATAAGAAAGTACAGGTAATAGGGGAATATCTTAAATGACATCACAGGAATATAATCAACCAACTCCAAACTGGACTATTCTATATGACAAACAACTTTATTTCTCCAACAAATAAATGGCAAAAAAAAGAAGAGGGGGCTGTTTTAGACTAACAGGTAGATCAATTAATTGCTACATGTGGACCTTGCTTGGATTTTAAAAGCAATGAACCAGGCATGAAAAAGACATGCTAACACAGTAAGGGGAAATTGAGTATGGCTTGGTTACTAAGTGCTATGGAGGAATTGTGGCAAAGTTTGTTAGGTAAGATAATGATAATATTGCTGATTGTTAAAAAAACAACAATCTTTTAGTCTGTTGAAAATAAATACTGCTACACTTAAAGAGAAATGATGTGATGTCTGAGACTTGCTTCAAAAAACAACTAACACACATCTAAAAGGAAAGTAGTGGACAAAAAGCTATTTACACATGTGTCAAACACAAGGCCCGCGGGCCAAATCCATCCCGCCAGGCCTTGCAATGTGGCCCGCAGCGCGCTGTCATCACTGCACTCCGCTGCATTTCCATCACAATGACAGTTTATGACTGTTCAGTAAACCATTCAGCCCGCGATTTAGGCTGGATTTTAGATTTTGGCCCCTTCTCTGATTGAGTTCGACACCCCTAAGCTAAAAGGATGCTAGTGTGTGTGCGCATGTGTTTGTGTGTGTAAAGAACAAGAACGAGACTATTGACAATGTTGAAAATGGGTGATGGGTTTATGAAGCCGTGTTCCCACTATATACTTCTCTTTACTTCGTGTGTGAACATTTCTGTTACAAAAGGTTTTGAAAAATCTTCCTTGTCCCTTCTTTCCTAGGGATTCTGCAAGAAACTGGAAGGCTAATCTCACCCAAGAACCCTCCTGAGGCTGGATCTGCCCTGCCTTCACCTCCCTCTGCTGAGACTTTAAGACATTCTGCGGTGCCCTTTTGGATGTGGACCCACTTAGCCCGCTGGGCATTTCTAATGTTAGCAGTGACTTCTGAGTGTTCACCTCCTCCCTGCACACCAGTCCTCCCTGTGGATCCTGGCCATGGCCTTGCAATGAGGTGTCTCTAATTTTAGATTGGATTCAGGAGGATCCAGATGGGTTGCCACTTATAACTGGTATGAACTTCAGCCCAGAAGCTGAGGTGTGCAAGAAACAATGTGAAACATTTTTTTATAACTCCACTTAGTTTGTATTTTAAGCCTTGATCCTGCAGGTGTCCAGTTTGGATTTCCACCCATTCCTGTTTGGAAAGCATATAAGACTCTGGTCTTGAGGGTTGGGGGCGAGAGCATGGTCACTGTTTATGAGAGCCCACAGTTGTAGTTTCCATGCCCATCAGCTTGGTGGCCATGCCTCCTTTAGGATTGGTGACCCCTTGGGTCACTGGGCCAGGGGGTGTGGTGTGTAAAGGCTGATGCTGGAGATCCATGCATTGCCCTGTGCATTTTACTGAAGAGCAAAGTGAAATTCAATGAGTTAAAGGCCTTGTTAGAAATATCTGGAGAAGTGAAATGCCTGTTTTAAAGGAGATTGTTGTCTAGGGTTGGCATGGGTGGGACAGGTTGCCAAGATTCTGCTTGTGTGCACAATACAGCTGCCATCTCCTCTTGGAGTTTTTGGCACCCCCCCCAGCCCCCCCAAGTCACACTTGAGAAGCCTCTCCTTCATGATCCCTACACATTTCTCTCTGACTGAATTAGCACTCTCAACACTAGCAGGGTAAGAAGGGAACAGCTAGTTTCAAAAGTCCTGCTTCTGTTCTGTTTCTGCCCAAGCAGCCTCTCTTTCTATGGATCCTGGGACTTTAGGGACAAAGCAAAGATGGCTGTTCCTGCTTCCAGCCTTGCCGTGTCCCACCTCTGCTACCCACTTGAATGCCGAAGGGGAGGGGTGGAAATAAGGAAAAAAGAGAAATAAACAGGGACAGATAAACATCTTGGTATATCCTGCCACAATTGGAAATGCAAGAGTTGAATTCATGGGAGAGGTTCCACTGGGAAAAATAATTGTTCTTGACAATGGTGTCTGTGCAGTGACAGGGAATGGGCCTCCGCCCATGGAATGCTCAAGGTCATCATTGAGGTCGGAGAATTCTGCTGTGGGCTTGGCAACCTTTGAACCTGCTCTGTAGAGAGCACTGGGCAGTGCTGCAAGTTCTGTGAGGGGTCTGAGTTCTTTAGCCATTTAAGACGCTCACCTCTTTTCATTTGTACTAAACCATTTCAATGGACTTCCTGCGAGCCAAGGAGGGCCAACCTGTAGGAAGAAGGAGGAGCTGGATGTTAGGCATCTTCTAGGGGGCTCTTCTTGCTAGTAGTATGAAACAGCGACAAAAGAGGAAACATTTGGAAAATGATGAGTCCCAGGAAACTGATGAGAGGGGAAGAGGTATGTGCTGAGTAACTTGTCGGAGGCACAAGGGTGGAGGCCAGCCTGAGCACTCTCTGAGAACTGGGTCTGAGGACAACATGCATCTATGAAGTAGGGAGGGAGAGACCTGGCATCACCCGGTGTTGCCCTGTCCATCTGTAGGGTCCCCATGGCATGAGATGGCATGGAGAGGCCAGATGCCCTGGCAGATGGAAAGTTCACCCTGCCGGTCTGAGGGCCTGAGCACTCTTCCGGGGTTGTTCGATCTGGAGCTACGTTGGATTCGGAGCCCAATGGGGTTCTGCTTGTACAGGCTCAGAGGTGCAGCTTTTCTCGGTCCCCCCATTCTCTCTGTTCTCTTTGCTTGTTATGACCCTGGGATCCCTGGGTCAAGGAGTGTGGTGTGTAAAGGCTGATGCGTTGTCCTGTGCATTTTACCAAAGAGCAAAGTGAAGCTCAATGAGTTAAAGGCCTTGTTGGAAATAGCTGGAGAAGTGAAATGCCTGTTTGAAAGGAGATTGTTGTCTAGGGATGGCATCCTGTTGAAAGCAGGAGATTTTATTTCTCAGCAGGAAGTATTTACCAGTTGATCCATGGGAGTGAATCCACAGGGGTGAACTTCCCAGAGATCAAGGGAAGCGAAAGGCCTTCCAGAGACTAAGACCAAATGGATGAGGGTGAGAAATGTCAGGGAGCACTGAGAGCCATGAATGTACTTCCCAAGCCACGTGGTGACTGCATGCATTAAATGTAAACTAGTAGCTTGTCCTGAGAAGTGTGTGTGTGTGTGTGTGTGTGTGTGTGTGTGTGTGTGTGTGTCACATGTAGAAGGTGGGGCAGAATGGAACCCACTTCAGAGATCCAGCTCCAGGATTCTGTCCAAACTGGAGCCCAGCAGTCTCTAGGAGGCCCAGGGTCCTAAAGACCATTGAATGAGCCCTGGGAATGGAGGCCTGGCCAGTAGGCAGATGTTTAGATAGCAGGTGAGACAGGAGGCGGAAGGCAATGGTTATCCCCGTCCTGTACACTTCAGGATATTTTTTGTCTTTGTGCATGTGTGGTGCACATGCACAAATACTTAGTAATTGCTCATGGATAAAATGGGACAGAGAGCTCATTGGATATATAGTCTGTATGGTAAGGTTCCTATAATCATGCCTGGTGACACTCAATATGGATATTCAGAATTCTTGTGAAGGATGTTCCATGGACAGTCACTCATACACATCCATGTACACTGGGATGGAGAAAAAAAATTACACATCTCCACACACAACTTTTTATTAAAGAATACACAGAGTATATAGGTGTATACACATATAACTCCTATACTACGTTCACATACAACTCCTGTGTATACCATCCTTTCTTACCAAACCACACTCTAGGGACTGTATATATAGATTTGGATCCAGCTATCATGCAAACACAGGTAGCTTCAACTATCTCTACTTCTATAAGAACTAGTCACATGTCATACACACCACCCACAAAACACATTGTACGGTAATACCAGACTCACTTTGCACAAACAACCAAAGAGCAGATTCACCAACCTTTACCAGGTTTGCCAAATAAAATACAGAATGCCCAGTTAAATTTGAATTTCAGATAATTCACAAATAATTTTTTTAGCGTGAGTATGTTCCAAATATTAGAACCCAAACATTGCATGGGAATATTTACACTAAAGAATTATTCATGGTTTATCTGAAATTCAAATTTAACTGGTGTCCTGTATTTTTGTTTTCTAAACCCTTATATGCTTACTACCAGCTGACACATCATATAGTTCTTGCATTTCTGTTTAGTGTCTATGTCTTCTTGCTCTAATGTTCAGCATTATTAAAGCCTAGAATAGTGGATTAGTGCCTGATACATAGTAATTGCTCATTGAACATTGCAAATGAATGAATGAATGAGTGAATATATACCATAAATACAAACTATATGATATAATCAAGTTACATGCCACACTCAATCCTGAGTTGTGAACAGAAACCATACACACAAACTCTCCATAAACATAGATACAGACATTTCTACCCCGTTTACCACACATCCCCACACTTACCAAAGGCTTAGCTGAGCCCTGGTCAGTGGTGTACAATGGTTAGAGCATTGGCCCTTGTGTTTGATTCCAGTCAAGGGCATATACCTGGGTTGCAGGTTCATCCCCAGCCCAGTTGGGGCAGGTGTGGGAGGCAACCAATCAATGTGTCTCTCTCTCCCTTCCTCCTTCCTTTCAACTCTCTTATAAAAAAAGAAAAAGGAAAAAAAAAGAAAAACAATGGAAAAATATCCTTGGGTGAGGATTAACAACAAAAAAGTTTTAGGTTAGTGGTTAGCAAACTCATTAGTCAACAGATCCAAATATCAACAGTACAACGATTGAAATTTCTTTTGCTGAAACCGGTTTGGCTCAGTGGTAGAGCATTGGTCTGCGGACTGAAAGGTCCCAGGTTCGATTCCAGTCAAGGACATGTACATTGGTTGCGGGCATATCCCTGGTAGGGGGTGTGCAAGAGGCAACTGGTCGATGTTTCTCTCTCATCGAGATTTCTAGCTCTCTATTTCTCTCCCTTCTTCTCTGTAAAAAATCAATAAAATATATTTTAAAAAAAAGAAAAGAAATTTCTTTTGAGAGCTGAAAACCAACTTCTGTGCATGGACCATGAAGTTTCAATCATACTGTACATGCGTGCCCACATATGGTATTTTGTGAAAGAGCTGCACTCAAGGGGCCAAGGAGCCGCATGTGGCTCGAGAGCCACAGTTTGCCAACCACTGGCTTAGGTGATACACATCACTCTCACACTTCTGACATATTCACAGTCACCACTCAGGCCTACATCCTAACAAGATACTAACAAAGTAATTGTTGATTATAACTAAATACTGAAATAACCACTGAGATTCAGAGTCTAAGCCATGTCTATTCACTGCACCTGTCAAAAGCCAGCCACTCAGTAAATATTTTTGGACAGATTAATGATTCACAAACATTTCTCTGAGACTTTTGTACCTTCCTCAGGAATCTCGAAGTCACAAAACGATGTCCTTCAGCTTGGATCAACCGAGGTGGCCAAAGGCTATGACCCAGGGGTAGGGGAGATCTCCTCTACCTCTGACTACTTAACCTGTGTTTCTTCTCCACTCAAGCTCATCAGTAGTGGTAAGAGTGTGGGCCTCCTTGGGTGCATGGCAGGAGGCACACAGAGCCAAGCATGAACCTCAGAGGAGACCCAGGACAATCAGAGATGATCGGGGCTCTGTGAAGGAGCCTGGGGCGGATAGCAGAATGGTTAGATTTTGGATATGAGCTCACTATAGGAGAGTGTGAGCCCTGGTACAACCACAGGGGGCAAGTTTCAGAGTAAGGGCCAGAAAGGTGTGGGCTTGAGGTACAGGCAGAGGGACCAGATTAAGTACCTTCAGAGGAACATGTGAACTTTGCCTTTACTTCCAGAGAAGGACAGAGTTCCTCAGCCCAAGCCCTCACAGCTCACATCTACAACCACACTCCATGATATCCATTCTTAGCACACACACACAAAACCCAATCACATGACCCACGATGCCATTCTCCCACATTCCACAAATATCACAGCAATGATAACACAAACTCACATTGGTGTCATAGCACACACCCCGCCAACATTCCCCAGACCACAGCCTTCACCACCATACTCCACACCTCTATATACAGGCACCTCTCCAATATCCCTACACACACAAATCAAAAGCCCACAGATGACACCAGATACACTA